CAAGGTTGGACTATATGGTGGGAGTGGAAAGAACAATCTCATGAAGCTCCTTTAATATTTCCGTGGACAGAAAACCGGGACCGAGAGTCTCGAGTTTTTTTGCTGCTACAGATGGTTCGGTTGACGAAAACGGGAAACGCTGTGATGTGCTTTTTGAATGAATACACAATTTGTTTATGCATCATCAATGCGCGTTAAGTAAGTAAGGTTAAAGTACGGGTTGGGTTAGGGTTGAGGGCGGGTTATGTTAGATTAGGTTACTTTATGTTAGGGTTAGTGTTCGTAGAAGTAGGGCTAGGTTTAGTGCTAATGATAGGCTAAGTTAAGTTATATTAGGGTTAGCATTAATGACAAGCTAGGTTAGGCTGGTGTAGGGTTAGGGATTGGTTAGTTTAGATAGAGATGAGGGATGGGGTCGAACGCTGTGACAGCGGAAAATGCTGTGACAACAAACATTACTTGAATATGAATATGTTTTTTGGCTGGATACATTATTTTTGCATGATAATTTTTCCTTCATCGATTTCGCGTTTGATTAGGTTAAGTGGGGTTAGGATTAGCGGTAGGCTAAGGTTATGTTAGGTTAGGTAGGTTAGGTTATGGTAGGGTTAGTGTAAGGAATGGTCACAAAAGCGGGAACCGTTGTGACAATTTTGCGAACATTATTTCAACATGAATTTGGGCTAGATACACAAGATTATTTGCCTGAGGATTTTCGCGTTATCTATTTTGTATTACGGGAAAGGGTTATAGGGGTTGGGTTAAGTGGTAGTTATAAATTGGTTCGGTTAGAGTTAGGGACGGGTCAGTGTTATGAAGGGGTTAGTTTGGTTAGGGTTAGAGACACGTTAGGTTAAGTTATGAGAGTGGTCCGAAAAGCGGGAACCCTTTTGACAATTTCGCTAACATTATTTTAACATTAATATGTTTTTGGGCTAGATACACAATTTTATTTGCCTGAGCATTTTCGTGTCATAGATTTTGCGTTACCGTGGATGGCACTTGGGTTGGGTTAGATTTGAGTTAGGGGCGGGTTAGGTTAGGTTAGGTAGGGTTAAAATTAGAATTATTGCTACGGTCGAGTTAGGCTAGGTTAAGGAGGTTAATCACGTATTGAGTTACATATCCACAATTAAATATTTTTTCGTGAAGCGAAGAAAATGTGCAAGTTTTTAATTTGGGTTTCTGTTTGATAGCCCCTTTACATTTTTATCATTATAATACAAACACATGTTAATTCAATGCAAAATATTTACTAATGGGCTCCTTCTGAAACTAGATCAAATGAAGCATCATACTTTTTGGCAGGAAGTAATATGGGACCTGTACGTCCCAGTGTTTTGTAAAGGGTTATTAAGAAGGTAAACGAAATAAAAGAGGGCCGAATGTTAGACGTCGAGACAGGTGGGTTTCGTCTCTCCACTTTCATTTCTTTAAAATCTATTCTTATGCAAATTTTACTAGACGTAAGAGAGATGAAAACGTGTGAATGGCTGAAATTAGAAGGCAGTACAACTTTTTCGGACGAATAAGAAAAATGATTCCAAGTTCTCGTCTTATTATGTTAAGGATGTTGGCATTGGTTAGGTGAACCACGTGGATTAACCTGAAAATTTTGTTGGCGGAGAAGTAACAAGGGCACCGGATCAAGTTCAACAAACTGTAGAATCAAATCCAGCCCCAAGTAGAACCGCGTAATTGCCAGGGAGTGCCGAGCGTCGAAATACCTTTGGATATATTAACCCCCATCTAACCTAACTCGTCCCTAACCTTAATCGGAACCCACATTGATACTTAACCTGGTCCTATCCCTAACCTTAATTTAACCTAATTCTACACCTAATCCTAAACAAACGCAAAATCGATGGCATGAAAGTGTTCACAAAAAATAAAATAGTGTACACAGCCCGTTAACATATCGATGTTTTAAAAAAAATGGCTTCGATCCATAGTTTATGTTGGAAATTTGTGCTGTTCAAACTTAGGCGCGCTCTCGCCAAGAGCAGTCACATGGCAAAACGGTATCCTAACCGTTTTATGTCCCCACTAGAACCTTTCACTTCTTGTACGGTTTTGTCCAGTGTGTATTGAAGAAACGTATTCACTTAACCGCTGTGTATATATTAACATAAACTTGGTAACAGGTTATGGGCCTAGGAGTTTAAGCGGGCAAAACATTCGGGGGTGTCGGAATAACTTTTTTTTCCCCTCATTCGTATATCGGAATTGCGACCACGCGGTCGCTCGGACTCAACATAATGAGTATCACGAATATTGCGAGAGTCAAACAATTGCCGAAAGACACAAAGCCAAGGTCAGACATAATACTAAGTATCACTCCGTCCGAATTAAAACACATCAAGAGGTGCTCAACGTCTCGAGAAGTGTGGACGAAACTGAAGTACTCGAATCAATCACAACGGCCAGCAAGAGAAGCGACATTACTCAAGCAGCTCATTCTGCACAGCATGATGGAAGGATCGGATATTCGGAAGCATTTAAATGTTTTCTCCAATACCGTCGACAAACTCGGGTATATGAACATTGATATAATCTCCGACTTACTCACCATCATGCTGCTGTATAGTCTCCCGCCGAGTATTCAAAATTTTAGGTGCGCCGTCGAATGTCGGGATGATCTACCCACCCCGGAAGCCCTGAAAATAAAGATTTTAGAAGAAAGAGCCGCGCGAAATAATAACCGCAATGACGCTTCGCAGAACGCGATGATTTCGAACAACAAGGGTGGAGCATCGGAACGCGCAAACCATCCAGGCAACAGCCATAAAAACGACAAGAATAAACAAGAAAAGTTCCAATACAGATGCCGAAAATACGGCCACAAAGCGAACGAGTGTCATTAGCAAAACGAATCGGCTGGAAGGGCTGAAATGTAATCTGCGCGCTAAGAGGTTCGATAGGCGACTCAGCGAAACAGACATGTTGCCTCGACAGTGGAGCCACGTGCCACATGAATAACGCGAGCAGGCGACTTCTTAGATCGCAAACACCACGTGAGTCTTGAACTCAATTTGGCGGACCATAACACGACGAAAGTCGATTACACTGGGGTAGCAACGTTTACAGCAGATGTCTTTGGAAAATAAAAAAATATCACGTTATCTTTTTGCACTTAACACGTACGCGATCTTCGCACCAAACTCCTATCCGTAGGGAAAATAGCTACGAAGTCGTTTTCACACTTCTATACGGAAAGGAAGCGCGAATCTGAAAGCAGGTCGTAACGGGCACTTGTATTTCATTCGAGATGCCACCAATTCAGCTCTCGCCGTACACCCAGCCAACGACTTGGAACTATGACACAGACGAATGGTACGCCTGAATTACAAGGACCTTTGGAAGCCATAAACAAAAACACAATAAACACAAGGTATGGATATGATCACATCCACTTGAAGCAATCGTGTTCCAAATTCTGAAAATTTGTGGCGTCCCGGAAGATGATCTCAATAAAGATCGAAACGTTGGCATGATAAAGTAAATGTTTTTCTGAAACCTATATTCTGAAAATTGTTCACCATGATGCGTGCGGACCGATGCCCGTTTGAATCACACAAGGTACTTCGTCGAGTCGACGACAGCTCGAAATGGTGCGAAGTCAGATTCATACGATAAAAATCGGAAGTAATAACAAGGCACATGAAGTATTCGCACTAAGGGAGAATCAGGCCGGAACATCTATTAAATGTATTCAGTCAGACAACGGAAGAGAATACGTGACTCGAGAATTTGACGAACTGCTGAATTCAAAGGGGATTAGTCGAAGACTTGCGGTTCCCCATAACCCTACCAGAATGGAACTTGCGAAAACCGAACAATGTTGGATATGGTCCGATGCATGTTAGAATACGGCTGGCCAAGCATATTCTGGGCTGAAGCTATCAACACGGCGAATTACATACGGAATCAGTGCCATTCAAAAAGTCTGAAAGGAAAAACACCGTTCGAACTATGGGAAGGACCCATCTCCAAAGCACTTAAATGTATTGGAACTAAAGTGCTATTTGTGGGCAACAAACCAAGAAAAGGAAAGCTGGAACCGAGAAGCAGTGGAGGGATCTTAGTTGGATACTCCGACCACTCAAAAGGATATCGCATTTGGAAACCGGTTGACAATAAAGCAGAGATCATTAGGAATGTTAAATTCGTGCAACAGAGTCCAAACCCCAATGCAACTGCGAAATCCCCTCCTGATCAAGGGGAGGAAACAAGCGATCAGGAGCCCCATGGGATCGACTCATTCGTACGATCACCAAGCGATCTAAAAGACTATGAAAACGCAGCAGAAGTTCACGAAACAATGAGGAAAATGCGAGCCTTATGATCAAGAAAGGTGAAGGCCCGGAACGAAATCAACTGAGAGCCTTATCCGGACGCTGACGAATGGCTGAAGGTTATGACCGATGAAATTAAATCCATAGTAAAGAATGATACGTGGGAAATCGTTGAAGATAGGAAGGATGATAAAGTGATCCGAAGCCGCATAGCGCTTAGAAACAAGTATAAAGCTGATGGCACATTCGACAAAACTCATGGTTCGGGGATTCTCACAACAACCCGGAATCAGCTTTAAAGAGACAGTCTCTCTAGTCAAAAAGTCAATGGACACAATGCGAACAGCTTGTGTTCAAGGAAAATTGGTAGACGAAATTTATCTGGAGATACCGGACAGGATGCATCGATTACAGAAAATCCTAATCGACGACGAACGGAAATATAGATAAAAATGAAATGTAAGAAAATGCTAGCAGCAATACAAAAAATTCAACGTTTGCCTTAAGAAATCGTAAGAAAGTTAAGAAATCGTTATACAGACTTCGTCAAGCAGGTCGTGCGTGGTACAGTAAAATAAACCACATACTCAAGTCCATTGGTGCCGTGCCTACCGATGCAGACCCTTGTTTGTACAAAATGGTAACCAAAAAGAAAAAGCACCACCATCATATACATAGATGACATAACCATAATGTCCCAAAGTGATGAAGCCATTAGAAACAAAGAAACCGGACGAGAGACAGGCTTCATTAAAGGGGATATACATCTTCCACGGCGCTTTGGGATGGAAGAGTGTAATCATATCCACACCGCTCGACACTTACACAAAACTAGTAAAACCGAAGAGGACTGAATCGAAGAAGTACGCAGGAAATCTGCCGTATAGAGAGCTAATAGGTACACTCACGTACCTATCGACGACAACAAGACCGGACATTAGCCATTCTGTAAGTTTCCTCGCACAATTTAATGACTCATATGATCAAACTCACTGGGTGGCAGAAGCGTGTCCTACGTTATTTAAAAAGGGGATTCTTTTTCATGTTTGGAGATGGCCCGATCTCCTGGGATTCCAGAAAGCAAAGGACCGAAGCTCTATCGTCGACTGAAGCGGAATACATGGCACTAATGGATTAACTAACAACTTGTAGACTCTGTTACGTTTTATTTCATAAAAACCGCCCAGGGGAATCGAAGTAGCTAGGAACAATTTCGTATGCTGGGTGATAAAGACCAAAAAACGAAAGTTGATAGGTGTCGGTAGCCGTGGCAAGATGAGGGTGTGGACTGTTCTTATTACTAGATCCGAGAGTGAAAGCTCTCACTTTGTATCCTTTAACAATCGAATGCACTCTTGAAAGTCAAGCGTCGGCATCAAAGAGGCGTCTTTCTTCTGAAGAATGTTTAACATCCCGGAAAAATATTGATTGATATTGATCCGTGATGCATCTTGAGCTGACAGAGAAAGACTACGGACGTGGGAATGCCGAATTTAACGAAACTTTTTTTCTGTGGTACTGGGTCCAAGAATATTTCACACGTGATCGAGCATGTTTGCCAATCTAGACATTGTTGAAAAGTATTTTTCTGGCTTTGTTGTGCAGGTATTTTATCGGTCGATTTCGTACGAACGATAAAAAAGTAATATGAACCAAAAGTCGCTTCCAGTAAAGTAGGCCAAAAAATATTTTTAAAAATTCCGTTTCGATTTATGTACCATTAAGAGCTTTTAAATATGAATTTTTATAGGAAACAAAAAATATACATTTTTGGGCTGGATCAACTTTTCTACGATGTGCCATGTTCCAATTTAAAAAATCATAACTCCTCGGGATTTTCTCCAGTGACCATGGTATTGCAACTGTTTGAAAGCTGAATGTTTCTAGTTCAGCTTATGTTAACAAAGTTTAGATCTTGTGCCATTGTGTGAGATCAATAGGGATGAAAATTAAAAAAACCGCTTCCAGTATATAGGCGAAAAAAATTCTTAAAACAAAATTCAGATTCGTTGTAAACAGTCTTAAAAGCTTTTAAATACCAATTTTTATAGAAAACAACAAATGTACATTTTTTGGATCAGCCGGAGGTCAATTTTTCTACGATGTGCAATGTTCCAATTAAATCTTTTTAATTCCTCTGGATTTTCTCCTATGTCCATTCTATTGCAACCGTTGAAAAGCTGAATGTTTCTACTTCCAGCATATGTCAATAAACTTTAAATTTTAAGTCAATATAAGTGAGATAAATAGGGATGAAAGCTATTTTGATGGAGTCGTTTCAAAATTACCACCATTTGTATGATTTTCGATTAAAACAAAATCTCAGGAAATAAAAAGGAAATTTGAGAAAAGAAGGTTTTTTGTTTTTCTCAAAAATTTGTATACGGAGGTTCTAGGTGCGAAAAACGAATATCAGCTCGGCTTTTTGCTAAAAAAAATTTAACCTGATTTCTTAAGTCGGTCAGTATTTTGAATGACCGTGCCTGCCTCTTTCACGTTGATAAGTCAATGCGGGTAAAAAGGAAGTAAAAATAATTTATATTTACTTTTAACGTTAAAAATGAGAAAATAATTTAAAAAACTCACCGGCTATGATTGCATTCGAAGCCTAAGTGGAAAGGTCTTTTGATCGTTGAACCCAGTCGTGCATGATAAACGAAATCCTGCTAAACGTTCCGCCAGAAAATGTTTTGCCTCGAAGGATGTTAGTCTTAGAAACACTCTTCCAAGGGGTGATCAGGCAAATTTTAAGCTTAAAATTCTCCAAATGAGGCTTCATTTTTATCGTTGGACTGGAAAAACAAACATAACTTTTAAATGTTATTTTTAAAGTAAAAGTTTTTTTAAACAGAAATCCTAGAAAGGGACCAATGAGCAGGCCTTTCTCAAGCGGACTGCACGCCGACCGAGTACGAAACCGCAGTGGAGAAGAGATGGCAAAGTGTCAGTCGGGTAACAAATAAGGTGATTGTGTAATGTTGCGGCCGCTGTTCTAATTGCCATCTCGACAGGCACACAATAAATATTATTTAAATTTTAAAATTCGAAAAACGAAGAAAATTTTGAACGAATCGGCGATTTCAACTCTTTATTTACTTCAATCAGTAGCCTTAAACGTAGAGAATCTAAAAGGTTTCTTCACAACACAATTAAAATATTGGGCTTTTTTCTATTTTTACAATGCGTTTGCCAATTTAACATGGAGGAAAAACCAGTACATTTTTATCATTAAATGTTTTTTTAATACTGCAAAGGGAAAACCATCAGACTGCATAAGAGTTTTATGCGTTAAAAGTTATGTGACATGTATGCATCAATTAAATACGGTTAGCGTCAATGACGAGTTAAATGCGATTAATTTGGTATTATTATTAGGGATGGGTTTGCTTAAGTAGTGTTACGTTTAGGGATAGAATGAGGGATGTATTAGTTTAGGTTAAGTAGGGTTAGGTTAGTGTTAGGGACGGCGGTTGTTATAACTTAGGTTAAGTAGGATTAGGGTTAGGGTTAGTGTTAGGGACATGTTATGATACATTAGGTTAGGTAGGGTTAGTATTGGAGATGGGTTAGTTTAAGTAGTCTTACGTTTAGGGATAGAAGTAGGGATGTATTAGTTTAGGTTAAGTAGGATTAGGGTTAGTGCTAGGGACGGATAATGATAAATTATATTAGGTAGAGTTAGGGTTATGCAGATTATGATAGCTTATGTATGGTTAGGGTTTGTGTTGAGGACGGTTTATGATAAGTTAGGTTATGTTAGGATTAGGGTTAGGGATGGGCCAGTTTAGGTAGTTTTAGGTTTAGGGATAGAGTTAAGAACGGATTGGTTTAGGTTATGTAGTGTTAGGGTTAGTGTTTGTGACGGTTTATGATAACTTATGTCAGGATTAGTGCTAAGGATGGGTCAGTTTAAGTAGTGGTTAGGTTAGTGTAAGAAATGGATTTATTTAGGTAGTGTTAAGGAATAGAGTTAAGGATGAATTAGACGAGTTCATTGCACAAAAACTTGAGATTTCAGGGAGGGAACAGATTAAATGTACCTATTGAATTTATCATAAAAAAACGATACAGACTTATTTTGCGACTCTATACTTGCTGATAAATGATGAAGGCAATGCTAATTTTGAAAGGGGAAAATGGATCATTTTCTATTTTAGATAACAAGTAAGACTAAATAAGCTGTAAAAATAGATCCAGAGATGGTTGGACAATGTGGCAGTAGGCAAGTCCTCAAGTGCTCGTATGCCAATGAGCTAAACCTACAGTTGTTTAACAAAAAATTAAAAAACACGTTTCTAAAAAGAAATGTCATTTTTAAATCGTTATGTAACGTCTTTACATATTGATGTACCATTCAAGGTAAGTTTATAAACTTAAATTGAATTGATTTTTTTCTAGAAAAAAATAGAGTCGAGTGGAATTCTGGAGGCTTGATGTTAACCCAGTTAAACAGGCACATATGTTTTCTTTATTCAAAAACTCGATTAGCCGGAAATATTCGTTTCCTCGTATTTGTAGAACGAAATTAGCATAAGATTGGTTCTCAGTGCTATTTTTTAATTAATAATAAATTAAGTCTTGAATATATAAACGCGTTCGTGAAATATATACTTAAACCAGAATTTTATTGAGCGTCAAATTTCCAGTTAGCTAAAAACGAGCTTGCTTACATTGTTTTTTCAACGTCGAGTAGTTTTTGAGAAAGCTATTGAGTTGACAACCTTTATTATTTTATAATTTCGGATGATATCAGTAACTTGGCTCAATTTGCAACCCTCAATCATTCATCGATACACCAAACAGTTAAATTTCACGACTGAGATTTTATTGGCCTGTTGAACCTTGACAGAATGTTCCGACCTAGGCTTGGCAGATATACCGACGATCAACCCACATGGGTGACTTCAGCATCTAATAACGCCTCATTTGGTATTATTTGTGATGAAAACCTTCCAAAAAGAGGATGACGCAAGTGCGCAGCCGACACGAACACCTTTGCGTCGGATTTCAAATCACGACTGTAGTAAGGCTGTTACTCAATGCAGTCATTAGACTGCAGTACTACAATTTATGGAAAGGACGGATTAGGTTCAATGAATGCTCTTCCGCGTTCCACTGTTCTGTAAACTTTAATACATTAACCGGATACGATGAAAAGAAGCGGAAATTCTTACTTCGAACGCGTGTTTACTGATGATAGTAACTGGTGATGGTGAGGATACTAAGAAGTGGTTTATGTTAAATAGACCCATTTTGTGTTTTCTCAGGTTCCAATGACCTCTATATAACCCACTATCACTTCTCTGAGTTTTACCCTGTCTGTTTGCAGATGTTTTCCACTTTTGACAATAATTCTTTAACTAAGTGTTTTTTATGTCTGCCACTTCTAAAGTTAATCCATTTCGGGCTTTGTTTTATGTGAACCCATTCTGAGTAGGATGTTTGATCTTGTTAAGTCCCAGTTATAGGTTTTGGACCTGTAGTTGGTCTTGCGGATCCACATTTTGCCTTTGTGTCTTCTCGTACCCTCTTCATTGCATAACCTACAAATGGGGTCATCGTTGAATATACCCAGGCTAGGTGTTTTCTCAGATGTGGACCAATATAGAATATCGCCTTTTTTTATGTCTCTAGCAATTGTTTGCCAGTATTGGCTTGTGCCCCGTATGCCTGGCACCTAAAGAGTTCATCCATTTCTCTTTTCGTTTTGTGTGGACCAATCTGATATGTATCTTATGTGGCCTATAAGTGGTCGTTGCAGATCCTTCTCTGCCCAGAGTTCCTTTGTACTTAGGCACCCTAGATCAGGTTGTTGATTTTGAATGCATTCACCGACTATTTTGGTTGTGACTTCAATGTGATATGTACTGTTAGAGCTGCTTGGCTATCTGATATTCTGCGTTCTTTTCTCTCTTTTAAGATTTTATATGATCATTAAGAGCAGGTAG